CACTCACTGCCAGTCAAGTCCTGGTAACAGGCCTGGGCTCCACACACCGTATCTTGCTTGCCACACGGTGCCTGCATCAACGTGCTGCCAGTGGGAACCAGGCGCACGACCTGATCTGACCACAATATTCTATTCTCTATCTGGCATTGTCAGCTTCTCCCCTCTCTATTGGATCATTTTCATCGGTATACAAATATACTGTTACGTTGCTCATTAAGAACAAAACTCCTTCAGCCTACCCCATTCTCCCTACCCCTGCTCCAATTTCTCTGCTCCTCTTTACAGCAAAGCTTCTCAGAAGAGTTCTTTTCTTCTTACATGCATCACATAATTTATTGCAACCATATCAATGTCATCCTTTACCCTTGAAATCAAATCCAAAAAAAAAAAAAGTTACCACAGATCCATAAATGGTGCCAATAGCTTTGATCCAAAGGTTAAATAACCTGGTATTCCCTTCGAAGCTTCCCCCGAACACAGTTCGAAGAATATATCTTTTTTAGTTTTTAATAATTTTCCTTTTTTTCATCATGGTAAGTATACTCTTTATATCCCCATACTATATCCCCCCTCCTCTCTGGTAACTACCAGTTTGTTCTGTATAGTTAAGGGTCTGTTTCTTGATTTGTCTTTCTCTCTCTTTTTCCTTTGCTTTCCTTTGTTTCTTAAATTCCATCTATGAATGAGATCATATGGTAGTTGTCCTTCTTTGACTTATTTTGCTTACATCATACTCTCTAGCTCCACCCATGTTGCTGTAAATGGCAAGATTTCATTCTTTTTTATGGCTGAGTAATATTCCACTGTATACACATACCGCATCTTCTTTATCCTTTCATCCATCGATAGACACTTGGGCTGTTTCCATATCTTGGGTGTTGTAAACAATGCTGCTATAAACATAAGGATGCATATATCCTTTTGAATTAGTGTTTCTGTATTCTTTGGGTAAATGTTCAGGAGTATTATTCCTGGATTATAGGGTAGTTCTATTTTTAATTTTTTTTTTTTTTTGAGGAAACTCCATACTGTTTCCCACAATGGTTGCACTCCTAAGAAATCTTTACTCATTGTCTCCAATCTCCTTCCTCTCAGCCACTATCATCATCTTCTTCTTCTTGAGATATAATTCACATACCATAAAAGCCACCATTTTAAAGTTATACAATTTATGGGCACCTGGGTGGGTCTGTCGGTTAAGCATCTGACTTTTGATTTCAGCTCAGGTCATGATCTCACATTGGTGAGATCGAGCCCCGCATCAGGCTCTGTGCTGACAGCCTGCTTGGGATTCTTTCTCTCCCTCTCTCTCTGCCCCTCTCCTGCTCGCACATGCACTCTCTCTTTCTCAAGAAATAAACTTTAATGTATATAATTCAGTGGCTTCCAGTGCATTCACAATGTGTGCAATCATCACTACCACTTCTAGAACATTCCATCACCCCCGAAATAAACCCCATCCTCTTTATCAGCCAAATCCCATTCCCTTTCTCAGACCCAGGCAACCACCAATCACTTTCGGCCTGTATGAATTTGCCGTTTGTGGACACTTCACACAATATTTGTCCTTTGTGACTGGCTTTTTTCAGTTAGCATAATGTATTTGAGGTTTATCCATGTTGTAACATATGTCGGAACTTCATTCCTTTTTATGGATGAATAGCATTCCATGGTATGGATGTACCCTATTTTGTTTGTGTGCTCGTGTCCTGATGGACAACGGTTCTTCACACTTCTTGGCTATTATGAGTAACACTGCTGTGAACATGTGTATATCCATTCTCTCTGAAACCAGCTCTGCTCAGGCTTTTGTCCCCCATGGTGCCACGGCACCTGCCCTTCTCAAGGTGAACAATGACCTCTACAGTGCTAGATTGAATGGTCGATTCTCAGTCCTTATCTTACTTGACTTATCCAGAGTATCTAACACAGCTGATCACTCTTTCCTGTTTTACTTGGCTCCCAGGACATCCTACTCTCCTGCTTTTCCTGCTACTTCACTGGGCTGTCCTTCTTGGTCGCTTGCCGGTTTCTCTTCATATTCTCTGCTCTAAACGTTGGTGTGCTCCAGGTCTAGTCATCATCTTTTCTTCTTATCCCATCTCATGGCTTGAATACACTCTAACCACTGGGGGGTACCAAATGTGGATCTCCAAATTTGAAATCTCCAGCCTCTCCCCTCAGTTCTAGATGCATATAGCCAATTGTCTACTTGACGTTTTCACTTGGATGTCTAAGGAAACTGATTATATCCCAAACTGAACTCCTGATCTCCTGCCCAGTATAATGTATTCCTTGCACACTCTTCCTCGTGTTGATAAATAGTCCAACATCCAGTTGCGCAGGCCAAAACCTTTGGAGTTCTCTCTAACCCTCTTTCTCTTCACTCCACATCCAATCTATCAGTAAGTCCTGCTAAATCTACCGTTAAGATATACTTAGCATTTTACCACGTATTGCTGCCTTCAGTCCCTGGTCTAAGTTGTCATCTTTTGCCTGGAGTATCGCAGACCCCTCCTCTCTCCACCACCGGGCTCCCCTGTTTCCACCAGACGGTCTGATGGATTCAATACAGACTGATTCTTTACAAATTAAGTCACATTACATCATTCCTTTACTTCAACCTCTCCAGTGGTTCTACATCTCACTTCAGAATAAAAGTCAAAGTCTTTACAGAGTACTACATAAAGTAGGCCTGGCCACTTCACCTGCAGCCAGTGTGACTGGAACGGAGTAAGAATAGCAAGTGCAAAGGCCCTGCAGCCTCTCTGCCTGGAATGTTCTCTCTCTTCCCTCCTCCTAGATATCTATATGGCTTACTCCTTTATGTCCTACAGGGACTTACTGAAATGTCACCTTCTTAGTGAGGCCTTGTCTGACCACGCAGCCCAAAATAAAAACCCCTTCGGCCCCGTTCTCTTGATCTCCCTTACCCCGCTTTAGTTTTCCACAGGACTTTATCACCATCTGAACTTCTGTACATTTTATTGTCTCCCTCCAGCGTAATGTAAGCCCTACAAAGGTAGAGATTTTTTAAAAAACATTTAAGTAGGCTCCATGCCCAACGTGGGGTCAAACTCACAATCCTGAGATCAAGAGTTGCGTGCTCTATGGACTGAGCCAGCCAGGTGCCCCGAAGGTAGGAATTTTTATCTGTTTTGTTCACAGCTGTATCCCCAGCCCCAGGGGGATAGAGTACTTGATACTGACTGGCACTAATTAGGTGCTCCATAAATATTTGTTGAATAAACTGGTTACTTTTGGTTTTTCTCCCCTCTAGCTTTATCGAGCTATAATTGACAAAGAAATTGTATATATGTAAAGTGTACAATGTGATGAATCGATGACTCAGTGAATGAATGGTTGAGCTGTTATTTTGAAAAGTAGTTAATACTTCAGCCATTTCTTGTTGCTTGACCGAAGTCAACCATTAGCTTTCGAAACAGTTGTTTAATTTCAGGTGCGGTGGGATGTTGCATGAACTTTTGAAAAAGACGTTCTCATTAGAAACTTTATCTTTCTTCAGGGTAGTGTATTTACAAATTTGGGCTCTTGAGACAGACTGTTGGGAGTTTGAATCCTGGACATCTGTGTGAACCAGGACAAGTTAACCGTTCTGTGCCTCAGTTTCCTCATCCATAAAATAGGCACACCAGGAGCACCTATCCCATGTTGTTATTCTGGGAATCAAGTAAAATGATGTACGGAAATCACCTAGCCTACTACTTGGCACATAGTAAAGGTTCAGTGAACAGGGGCTCTTATGACTCTTATTAAGATGTAAGAGAAATTTTTCAAAAAATAGAGTAAGACTTGCAACAGCAACAACTAAACACGTATTTCTAAGCGAAACTAAAACAGCTGTCCAGCTTTTTTGTATAAGTGGCATTTCTTTGGGAAACGATCCAAAATGTGAAGGCCAATTGTTTTGTCCCTTTCCTCTGGAGGCTTGCAGGAGATTGGACAAAGCCCTTTCACGATGCCTGCCTCCTCACAGAACAGTCACACCGGGAACCCCTCATACTTAACATTTCCACTTGTCACGCTTTTCGACTTTAATGCCATTGCGGACTCTGGGTTCAGATTCCAGAGATGATCTTCACTCAGTGCACTGCTTAAAAATTCAGCAATTCCCTTTTGTGGAAAAGATGCTTGCCAAGGGCTGGCAGACTAGCTTTCTAAGTGAGTTGACCTGCAAACAAGGTTGTCCGTGCTTGAAAAGGCAAGGACAATGGTCTCCTTCCGTGTCGTGACACCTCCTAGAAGCTTGCTGTCAGACACACCCTGTGCTAATTCCCAGTTAAACAAAGCCATCCCAGGTCCAGTCTGTGAACGCTGCAACATGCCAGATTCTCTGACTCGTGCAGGGAAACCGAGGAAGCCCAGACCTGTACAGGGGTGTCTGGCTCCACATTTCAAAGAAGCAGGCAATGGAGTGCAGCCACTCCTGTTCAGCGTTTGCCCTACATATTTCACACTTGCTTTCCAGGGTCTAGTTCTTATATTCTGACTTCTATTACCTCCCACAGCAGCTTATACTGACTTGGGCTTGGCTGGGCTGGGCACACGTTCATTTATTCGTTCATGAAACCCCACAGGGATCAATAAACACTAGTGAAGCCACACTGCTTCTTTGTTGCTTTCGAACTATTTTCTTAGTTTTGTTATTTAAATGAAATTCTACCTTGTTTTCCCGGCTATGCTGGAAATTTCTTGAGTACATGGACCTCTATCTCATTCCTGTCTCCTGCCGTGCCACACCTGCTTCTTCATTCAATCTATGTTTTTACTATTATGCTCTGCAAAACTGCTCTGGAGAAATGGGTTTGAACCCTAGGAGTTAGGTAAAATTTTCTCCGTGACTTTTGATTTTTTTTTTTTATTGTGGTTCTTACGAGAAAATAGCATGCAAACCCCGGCAATTACTAAGCCATTTCCCCACTATAATACCATTTCAAATAAAAGCTTAACAAAGCCTACGCTGAGAATGAGAAACTTACTCGTAAACGGTCGTCCATCCATTTTCATTACTTTTGGTGGCTAGAAGCCCCGTGTTTCCAGGATAGGTCATCACGGCCAGATTATAGCCTTGGGCTGACACTCTTTTCAGGACTCCATTGCTGCTTATGGTCAGCCAGTACACCTGCCCACCGGGCACCACAAGCCAAAGGGGGATCCCACCTGCGTCACGGCGAATGTGCACAGAATTGCCGTTGCTGCTGGTAACTGCACCTAAGTCACCTTCGGCATTGTAGGTGAAATTATATACATAGTCCCTTGTTATCAAGTTCAAGGTGTGCAGGTGGGTTCCATTGACAGTGAACTGGTAGAGCTCCTGGTCAGCAGGTGAAGCAATCTCATAAAGGTTCATGTCGTTCAGGTGGGCCTGGTTCCTGCTAATGGTACGAATTCGAACATTCCCAAGGTCTGCGACATAAAGGGTACCGTCGGGTGACACTGCTAAGGAGGAAGGGGCTTTCATCTTTGCATCTTTGGCATAGCCGCCATCACCTGTGAGAGAGAGACCATGGTTTTAATAATCGTCATCGCAAGCATTTCTAAGAACACAGCCATAAAGAGAAATCGCTGTGCATCAGTAGTCATTTTAAAGGGAACAACCAGTGAACCAACACTCTCTGCATGCCCCTCCCTTGACAAATCTGAAACTTCCTCAGAATTCTTGAGTCAGTACCAGTGAAGACGAACAGTAAGATGCGATTCTCTCAGTTAACACTGGTTTTGTGACATCCTCTACCCTGCCGTTCAGTATCGTATCGCAAGATGCGAAAAAACAGCGGATAATGGGAGCCACACGAAATCTGGCTGGAAGTCCAGGCGATTCATGCGTGTCAGTGCTTGTGGACCTGCCTCAGGACTTTGCAATTCTACTGTGCCTAGAGGACCCTTCTTTGGCTCATGCCCATGGTCACATTGTCAAAGTACACTAAGTCTGTAAGTGCAGCAATTATTCAGAACATCAAATTTGATAACTGGAATAAACATCAGATTTGCCCTGAATGAAAAATATAAGTTAGCAAAATAACTATAAAACTAATTGTCCAGGAAAACATTGGAAATATTGATCCAAAGTCGTTACTGACCAAGTTGCTCACTCTTGATTCCTCTGGCCCAAGGAAAGGCAAAGGTTAAGAGAATGATGCGGGCCTGGGTGAGCAGTTTAACAGGACTGCAGGTAGCATGGAGGGATCGCCACATCCCAGCAATAAATGTATCGGTTGACATTTAGAGGACTGTTTGCTATCTGGAATATCTGCTCCATGTTTGGGGGAAAAGGCTCTTTTTTAAATATATTTCAGTTGGAAGTAAAGGGCACTACAGGTTAGGGAGAAAGGTTTGTTTTTTGGTTTGTTTGTTTTAAGCGATCAAAGTAGCAGAGTGATGTCCTGAGAAACATCCACTGTGGGAGTTTATTTTGCCCCTATGTCCTCCAAACAGCTTGTTCTAGTCTCTTTGGGTTTCAAATAGCAAACACGGTTAATTTGGAAACCAGTCACTTAGGGGAAGTGAGTTTTGCCTTGGGTAAATCAGTAAATTCAGGTTTTACCTACTTTCCTTTTCTCCAAAGTACAAACAGTGTTATGATCTTACATTCATATAGTGATCTTAACTTAACCATATCAAGATTTTGTTACACTAGTTTATCCTCAAGCCAGCAAGGTGATAAAACCGAGACAAGTGACCTCTTTAACAGATGAGGTAAGCGAGTCCCCAAGAGGTTTTGGGGCTTGCCCAGCATCACTTGGTCGGCTGGTTGCAGACCAACGACCAGACACTAGGCTTCGTAACCCCAACCCATCGCTTTCTCCACTTGCTTATCCCAGGGTCCACAGGCAACACTCTGTGTTTCCTTTTGACTCTTCTGATGCGCGTTTTTCTTTTGGAAACAGAGAGGGAGCTGGTGAATTGCTAAAAAGGTCATACCTGAGAAACAGTCACAGTTGGGGTCAATTTTGCAGTCACAGTCAGTGGGAGCACCGGCTATGATGGAGATCTCTCCATTGGTGGTGACCTGCTGAATGCGGTTCACTCTCCTCTCGTCCGTCTCGGCGATGAAAAGCAGCCCGCTGTGGGACACGCCGATGGCCCTAGCAGACTCCAGAGTGGAGTGAACTGCCACCTTGCTGACCAAGAAATGATCGATGCCTGGCACCTGGCAGTGAATGGGGCGCCCTGCGATGATCCGCACGCGCCTGTTCTCAGAGATTTGCAGCACAATGTTGTTATCCAAGACATACAATGAATTGTCCATGGGATTGACCGCAAGGTCTGTTGGCCACTCTAATCGCACCTGCGAAAAGAGCAGAACACACACTGTTAGGTTACAATTTCTTTCCAGGGGCAGTTTTACCTTAAAAGAAAAATTGGCTTATCGCTTCCCTATCTCGTGAATTTCAGCAACATTGGTCTGGCAAAGCTGGGGGAGGACGGTTGATCACATTTTCTGGGGAAACCTATTTATCATTTTTACTATTTTCAGCATAATGTAAATTCATTTTCAATAATTCCAGAAGGATCCTCTAGAGTAGCGTTTTGCAGAATGTGGTCTCTGGACCAGCAGCAACAGCATCACCCGGGAACTTGTTAGAAATGTCAGTTCTCAGGCCCCAACCTAGACGTATCGAATGCGAACCTCTGGGGGTGGGAGCCCAGTCATCTGTGTTTTAGTAAGCCTTCCAGCATATTCTGCTGCACACTCAAGTTTGAGGACCAACGTTCTAGGGCTTCTGTGTCACTAGGATATACAGTTCTCTCTTACTATTCTGTAGATACATGGAAGAACAAAGTCATAGAGGCTTCTGGAAAACATGGTACTGGAGAAACTGGATTTTACTCTAACAGCAACCTTTGGGGACAGGACCTTCCGTTAGCACAGACATAGCATCCATCTTGTGGAACACTCAGGCACAATCTATCAGCTGGTGATATGGGATCCTAGGTTGTAATGTACTGCCATCTAGCTTGACCTGGTTCACTCCATCTGTCCCTTGCAAACGGGTTGATCTGTTCTTTCATTGAGTACTACCTTCTTTGGGCTAAGTCTTGTGGTAGGCTTTGGGAATTCAGAAGAATACTATGACACATCCTCTGCCCTCAAGTGACTCATGGTCTAGCAAAGCCCTTGGAAGGGTCATTAGGTATTGACTCTCCACGTTATGAGAAAGAAACAGCAGAGAGGGTATGAGAGCCCTTCACTCAGATTAGGAATCAGGAGGTGGGGAATTCCCAGAGAAAGTACTACCCGAAATGACCGGTAGGAGAGAAATGGGATGAAAATGGCGTGGGGTGGGGAGGGGGAAGTGTTGAAAGCCATCCAGGTAGAGGGAACAGCATGGATAATGGTCCAGAATTTACAGACATGTGGCCCATCCAGGTGACTACAAATAATTTGCTAAGTCTAATATATGTTGAACATATGGGAGTAGTGAGCAATGAGAATCAGGAGGTAGACAGTGGCTAGGTATTATGGATTGAATTGCGTCCCCCTAAATTCATGTAACCCCTAATGTGACTGTATTTGGCAACAGGGCCTTTAAAGATGTTATTACAGTTAAATTAGATCATTAGGGTGGGGCTTTAATATAGCAGGACCGGCGTCCCTATAAGAAGGGGAAGAGACACTAGGAGTGTGTAAGCGTAGAGAAAATGCCCATGTGAGGACACGTAGAAGGATGGTCATCTGCAAGCCAAGGAACGAGACCTCGGGAGAAACCAAAGCTGTCAACAACACCTCGATCTTGAACTTGTAGCCTCCAGAACTGTGAGAAAATAAATTTCTGTTATTAAAGCCATCCAGTGTGTGGTATTTTGTTATAGAAGCCATAGCAGACTAATACACCAGGTAATGAAGGGATGTGCATGTGCAGCTTTATTCTCGTGGCTGTGAGACATCACTAAAGGGCTTTAAACAAGAGTGTGACATAGCTGGGTTCTAGAGGAATCACACTGGCTGCTTTTGAGATCGTATTGGAAGAGGAGGTGAGAGAAGAGGCAGGCCCATAATTAGGAGGCTCCTGCAGTGGTCTAGGTGGGGGATGATAGTACCTGAAATAGAATGGTAACAGTGGGGGATGGACAGATGTCGATGGATTTAAGGCATGTTAATGGCAACGAGGGGCAAAAGGACTGGTGTGTGTGTGTGTGTGCGCGCGCGCACGCGCGCGTGCGTGTGTCCGTGTGTGTGCATGTCGTGTGTCTTGTGTCATGTGCTGTGTGCTAGGCTCTTGGGACACACAGGCCAACCAAACATGGCTCCACTCTAGTTCCTTCCTGGATACAGCAGTCAGCCCAATACTTGCCTTGACATCTCCTCGATAGCTCTTCATCACTGGGCACTTCTCCGAGAACTGTGTTACAGCACTCTCCGCCCCACCACCCACTTACTCTATACTGTATGGCTCTTCTCTTGGGTTGGACAAAGGCAGACAAATCTGGCTCATTCCTGGCCAAAACAGTAACAGTAATGTGGCTACTCTTCTTACCTTGAGTGAAAGCCCAAGGAAGCTTTTGTTTTTCTCATTGAATCCAAAGGTCTGAAAAGAAGATATGGACTGCCACTGCACTGGGAGGCCCCCTCTCTCCCGGGCTGGAGGAGGCCTGACATTCAGTCAGTAATGAAGTGAACAAAGGTCAGTGTGAGATAAGGCCCTACCTCTAATCTTGTCTCTTAATGGAGGGCAACTGGTGATGTTGTAAAGACAAAGGTTGTCTTTGGCCTTCCCTCTCGTACCACTTGGGGCTCTCTGCCCCCGTTTCGGAGTGTCTCTCCCAGACACCCAGCAACCTCATTCTGCCGCATGTGTCTGCGTGCCCTCAACCTCCACATAGACTGGCCTTCCCTGGTCAGTACCATGTGTCTCTGGGCAGCTAGGAATTTGAATGCTAATGGAGTAGAAAGCTGAGTTGTGTTATGCATGTTCTACAGAGCCTTTCAGACTGAGGCCATTGGATAAACATTAAACACTGGCTTTAGCAGCTCCCGGAGCAGTTTGCTGTGATGTGTTCCTCAGCACGTCTGTCTGAGGCCCGTGCCTGTCAGCGCCCTGCCACTGAGAGGGAGAGTGAGAGCTTGCTGCTGTGGAGGGTGCCCACTCCTCTGCCGTGCGCCCCCTCTTTGGATCTCCATAAACACTATCGCTCTTGTACAGCAGCTGTCTGTGTGAGCTGGTCCTATGGAGTACGGTCCCCCAGGAAATAAGCTGGGGCTGGCTGAGGAAGAGGAAATGAATTCATTTCAGTATAGCACTCCTATTTTGATCAAGTCTGAAGTCAGTGACCCAGAAAAAACAAAGCTGGCAGAAATGACGTTCTAATTATCTCCGCTCTGAGAGCTGAGGCCAGGGCAGGGGCCGGGGACGGCACACACCTGGCAGGAGTCAGAGAAGGACATGTTTTGGACTCTGTTCTCTGCTGTCAAGGCTGCCTCTGAGATAAAGGCTGGTAGTTGGAAGATAAGCCGTTAAATTCTCCAACTTGCCCAACCCGATTTGAGTCAATACCATCGGTGTCATGTTTATTAGATTTAATATTGCCTCAAAAATACACCAGCCATTGTGTCTGTTTGTTTTCCTTTCTGTCAAATAAGTCACCCTCTGGCAGTTTCCTGTGACTAAAGTGGCCTTTGTGCTTCTGAAACAGTTCTGAAACACTTTCTGTACTAGCTACACAGAATCCCTTTAATTCCCATTTGATTTGGCTGCGCAGCTTGTCTATGAAATCTGCTCAAATGAAAGATGCGTGGCTACTTAGTAGTCCAAGGTCTGCCTGTTCACAAACTGGACCTTTTCCCCTCTCTTAGGTTGTCAGTTCCTTTTATATCCTTCTCATGTCCAATACTCCCATTTCCAGGTAATTTTTCAAGGAGCTGGTGCTTTATACCCACACAACAGAAGCACTATATTAACTACCGAGGCATTTCCATACCACACAACATATGGAACGGAGTCCTTGAGCAGGTTCTAGCAGTCAGAGTCAGCATCTATCAGTTGCAGAGAGACCCTGGAATTCTGTGTCACCAAGGTAGGGCTAAGGTTAATCCCTGAGGGTTGCTGACATTTATCCAACTGGTTTCTGGGGAGAAATAAACATTTCTTTTGGGGGGGGGGGGAGCAGAAAGGGATGTACGAGCAGCAGAGAAGCTCTGGAATCTCTGCCTAGTGACCCGGCCTACAGGCAAACCATTTGGCCTAATTTGTGGTGGTTGCCCCACCTTGTAAAAATACATTAATTTGTCTGAAATGTCACAACATATTTATGCTAAACTAGCATTGAAGGTCATTTGTGTAGCCACCAGCTGGTGGAATGTGCCCATCTCCTGACCACATTCCCTGAGAGGTATCCCTGAGCAGAAAGGAGCTCTTGGTCTGGATGTCAAGCCTTGACAGCCCTGTGGCTTCCTCTGCTAATTGAAACTTTGCCTTGAAGGGACTTGACTCTCAGGTCAACCAGTCCCGTGGTTGGTTTAAAGATCCAGCTAATTGTGAGCCCAGTTAACAGTATATAAAGCAGCAGAGTCCTAGAGGGGAAAAATCCATATGTAAAAACAATATTTATTTATTTATTTTGAGAGAGAGAGACAGAGAGAGAGAGACTGTGTGTGTGTGTGTGTGTGTGTGTGTGTGTGAGTGTGCGCAACTGGGAGAGGGGCAGAGAGAGAGAGGGAGAGAGACAGAGAATCCCAAGCAGGCTCTGCACAGAGCCCGATGTGGGGCTTGATCCCACGAACCATGAGATCACGACCCGAGCTGGAATCAAGAGATGGACACTTACCTGACTGAGCCACCCAGGCACCTCTGTAACACCAGTATTAAATATGAGCCCTCAGTGAGACTAAAGTAGGAAATTCCTCAATTATAAGCTTAATCCAACGCTGTTAGACACAGCATTGTGTACTTGGGCTCTCTGTATTGAAGACTGAAGGCCAGCTCCTTCTTGTACTCTGTGTAACCCTAGGCAAATGAGGTTCCCTCTAGGGGCCTCTGGTTTTGTTATCTGCAACAAGGAAAAGAAGCTAACGACGGTGTCTCTGAGAGTTACTGCATGGATTAAATGAGATAGTGATACTAGGTGCTCAGTGCAGTGCTGGGACAAAGTAAGGGATGGTAATTGGGATTAATATTAATACTGGTTTCAAAGTCATAGATCTTTAGAGCTAGAAGGAACCTAGTTCACGCAGCATTCAATGCAGTTCCCTTTCAGTTCTGTTTACCAGACTTCAGCTGCCCATATAACGTCTTTATGAATTTTGCCTCACCCATCCACCACTTGCACTATTATTGACTTAATACCTTT